TCGGGAACCAGGAATATTTGCTTCCTTCTTTCAGGCTAACAAGCAGTGACAGGTATTTTCAGCATCAAACTGTCAATTCAGTGACTTCCGTCGTCTGCATCATAATCTGTTTCTTAGTAACACTTGGTCTGAGCAGCGGTAATAGAATTAATTATACTTCATTTTGCTGCCTTTAACAGTATTGACCAAATTTAAGAACAAATGAGAAGTGCTTATCAAGCTTGAAGAAAATAATCCATCAGTGGCACAATTTAAATTCTCTGCAGTTCTCTTATTAATCAAAGTAACACTTACTATCCTATCTCCACTTCCCATTAACAGTCATTAAGCCCTGCTGCTGATTGAAGCAATTTCTTTAGGGACCTCAACCTCATTTTTAAGAGAACCTTCTTTAGTGGAAAACAATATCATATAAGCGCGACGACTTAAAAGAGAGGAAGAGGTTCTTCAATCATGTTCTGACCTTGATATTTTTCAACGGTGTAAGTTCAGAAAAGTACACAACAGTGAGGCTGGAAACTTCGAGAGCAGGTGAGCTGCCCTGGCCTCCGCGTCTGAAGGAGGCATGAGTCCAAGGCCTAGACTTGGTCAACCACCTTACCAGCCTCTCTGACCCACCGCGGCCCTCGTATTCTTTCAAGTACAACAGCAGGTGCATCTCAGAAACAGGGAACACACGGAGGAGGCTTTACCAGGAACACCTGTGTCTTGACTTGTGGCTCTGAGGGGGCGCCTGGTGGAGAGGTGAAAGGTGTCGGAAGACTGAGGTTTGAGGTAACACCCCACACTTCTAACCCATGACCTTGAGCAACTGGGCTAGTCTTTCTTGTCTCCATTTTCCTCTGAAGTGGAAATAATAGTATCATCTGCTAAGCTCACCTCTCCAAATTGTTGTGGAAAGCACAGGAAAAAAGTGTATGTGAAAGTCTTTGAAATTGTTAAACACCACAGTACAGATGTTCAAGCCCTAGAACCACAGAGTTTCATCCAACTCTATCCCCAGGCCCTTGCCCTATGTTGAATCACAGTAGGTGCCCAGGAAGCGCTAAATTAATGCTAACGAAGCCCTATTTCTAAAAATGGGAATAAGGTGACCCACGTGATTAAATGGAATAATAGCCTTTTCGAAAACACCTGTAATGCATGTGGGGTGGAAGGGACCAAAGCACAACTCTAAGTGCATTGAGGACAAACAAAACATTTCCAGAATCAAGGGAATTGGGAGGGCAAGGTCTGTGGAGCTAAAGAGTTCTGTGATTGAGGACATGGTGATCTCAGGAGGAAAACCCCAGAAAATGTTGGTGATTGGCGAGGTAAGGCCACACCACTGGCAGTTTGGTCATGCCAGGAGAGCTGGCAGTTTCCTCACAGGTGCCCACTGGCTTCTGCCCCTGGAAATTAATGCCAGTGTCACCGACAGCAGCTCCAGCAGGCAGGTTGTTAATAGTCAAGTCACTGAGTTGAAGGCTAAGCAATCACATATCAGGATGGGGGCGTGGACTTGGGAACTGGGCTCTGGGACTGTATCTCATCTGCATCGCCGGTGTACTGTGTCAAGGCATCCGATACTCTGGAGTCTCTCCTCCTCCTCTGCACTAGTGCCTTGGAAATCAGTGTTTCCTCTGGTTATTGATTGTCATTCACATACTCCCAATATTTATAAAAGCCTAAAACAACATGGAACTGGTTATAAAATCTCAAGGTGGTAAAACACTCAGTATTCACCCTGCTCAATCTCACTAGTGAGGAAACAGACTGAGAGAGGGCCAGTGGCTTGCCTGGAGGCACCCTGCTGGGCACGGCTGGCCATCTTTAGCTCATCCAGAAGTGATCTTGCTCCTCCGAGCAGCCGAGCAGACATCTGAGGTCCATTGTGCAGCTTTTCTCTTTCCCCCAGGGAAGGCTGTGCACCCCTGAGGAGACCCAAAGAGCCCCCACAGGAAGGACTTCTGCATGCCTGCCCCCTTCCTATTTCTATGCGTTAAACACGAAATTCTTTGCTTTGGGTTTGGCTCAAAGATAAAGGTTTCAGATAGTGGACAGGTGAGACAGATCCATTCCTTTCCTTTAATGGTCTGAGTCCCAGGAAAGATCAATCAAGACCCGGACCTGAATTTGCTTGGCCAGCATAGACCTGGAGACGCCTTTCAATAGGCTATTGGGCCTGATGCATAAAGACGATCACATAATCAATGAAGAGATGGAACTCCCTCGGATTCTGATGACCACGGATGTTTGCAGCTGCCAACCATGCCCAGCTCTTGAGATGGTCCCAGAGGCCAGAAGAGAGCAGAGTTCAGCGGGGAGTGGATTTTCTTCCATTGAAGAGTTGAAAGGCACCTCCCACCGCTTAATTTCTGATAAGACATTAAACGTATGATTCTCGTCTAAGGCATGAAACGCTGAGATGAATTTTTGGATCAATGGAATACCTACTCCTGCTAAAGCACTTAAAAAGGAAAACATCTACAAAATGTCCCATTAGGCTGACACATTTATAACGCAATGAAGAGCGTGCCAGCAGTCTCCAGGCCAAAGGGAGCGCTGTGTTTCGAGAGTATGAATGGATTTGAGTTCGGCCATATTTCATCCCCAGGAACAAGTTTAGTGATCACATCTCTTCCCAATATTTCCCACATTTACTTTTCACCAGGCAGCTGTACGCCAAGACAGAATGCGGGCATCATCTTAAAAAATAAGTTGTAAAATGAATGATAGTAAATGGACTTTCACAGCAGGAAGACACGGAAATATATTCTCAGCTTGATGTGTGGGGCTGTACAGACATAAATGCCATTAGCATTAATGGTAATTATGTGCGTAAATCCCCACGCGCAGGATGAGCATGTGCCCCTCAGTTTGCAAGTACAATGACGGGCTCATTTTTGAAACTAGAAACAGCTGAGACTTTTTTCGCCCTCTAACTGGGCGAGATCTACCGAGTGGCTTGGAGCATAAAATCTGATCACCCACTTTCACAAAACATGCAATCCTAGCACTTTCAAACTCTTTTCCCTCGGAAAAGATGAAGACGTAGGAAAAAGTCTCTGCACTCTGAGAATCCCGGCAACGTATGCTTTATCATTCATAGTTTCCTGTCACCTGCTAGGGCGGCCACACTCTAGGAGCTACGCACTCTCATAATGAACTCATTTTATTATGGTCCCATAGCCGGTGAGAATCATATTTTTCAGTCAACCCAGAAATGGCTGTTTAGCTACAATGAAAATTTGCAGCAAGTAAGCAAATTTAGCATCCTGTTCGCCAAAGCCAATATATTCCAATCTTATTAAAACAGGCAGGCAGAGGACGTGCCCAGGAACAGGTTCGCCTCTTTGTAATTCCCAAATGAATAAAGCAGTGTGACCTAAATGTTTGGGTAGGCCTCGCCTTACACAGTCGGAAAACAAAACCCAAAAAAGTCCCCTTTGCCCAAAAGTCCGACAACATTACCACAGAGGGCCGCCTGCTTTGTAACTTGACGAACGCTTCATCAGGGCACGATGGGGCAGAGACACAGTAATTAAAACATACTAAAAAAACAAGCCGTTGTGGCTTTCAATTACAATGGAACTAAGAAGCAACCATATTATTTCTACAAACTATGTTCACTTAGCACAGTTCAGATGGAATTATTGCCGTGACCTTTTAAAAATGTGAAAGAGTGAATCAATACCCTTTCAGAGGCAAGATTGCAGGCGCGGAATTGGCCGTGCTGTAATGGTGTGTATTTCTGCATCAGGAGGCAGTTGAAACCTAATTATCGTCAATCACATACAAGGTACCTCAGTGTTCTGATGAGCCCGGGCAGGCAGTAGCTGCACCGGAGGGTCCGTGCAAGTGGGTCTTTGAGAGGGAGGAGCACGTGTGGTGAAGGGGCCGGCGACCTGGGAATCCCTGGGCCAGCCGAGGAAGCCTTACAGGTGAGTTATAGGGACCGTCACTCATTTACAATAACTAACACGGGCCTGCCAGAAACAGCCACCTGTAAATGATGCATGAGTGGCTGGCAGCCTGCCATCCCCCAATAGACCTTGCAGCCAAGAATCACATTTTATTGTCGAGGTCATCGGAATGCTCACTTGGATACATGCCATATATTATTAAAAACTAACAAACAGCCAATCAGCAACATTTCTTAAGGCTCAAGGGCAAAACAGCCAACCTGCTTTTAGAAAACAGGAAACAAGCGTCGGAGATGCACTTTAGCAGGCGATTTTTAATTGCTTGGCTCTGATATAAAAGAGCAAATGCTATGGAGAGGCTGAGGTTGGTGAGACAGTGTCAGATAGAGAGATTACAGATGGATATCCACTTTTCCAGAGCTGTTCCATCCAAGATGGCAGCAACACACACACACACACACACACACACACACACACACACAACTTCTCTTAATCAACAATGAGGGTCCCAACTGCTAGACCATGTGCTGGTGAGTTCCCAGGCAGTGGAAGCCACAGAAACCAGTTGGCAAGGCAAGGAAATCAAGGTTTGATTTTTCCATTCAATGCCATCTTTTTAGAATTTGCCCTAAAACACTAACATGATTCTATGCACCGTGACCAATTCTGGGGGGTGCAATCCATCTTTTTATACACAACCAGAAGGCCGTATCATGTTTTTATTTTTATTCAGGAGCCTAAATGTGGTTAGAAGTTTCCACATTATTTCAACATAAGAAACACAAGTTTATCAAATGTTATGGATATGAAGCCGTGAAGAAGTGTTTGGATAACCCCTTGCAACTTTTATTTAAAACCAAACAACCTCTTGTGTAACCACTCAGCTTCAAATATAGCGCCATGGAGCTCGGTGTTGACAATCTGTGATCATCAGCGTGCACAGCCCTGCTCTGCTGACTCGCACAGAGATGAAGGGCTCTGTAGGTTCGTTAGCATTGCGTAGTAGTTGGACAAATCTTTTTGTTCAATGCTCTTCATGTTCCTAGAATAAAAACATTAAAAATGCACTTTA